AAAATAGAGGTATTTTCTTATTATAATTTGTTGTCAAAAAATGAAAAATTTGTATTTAAAATTATTCCCATCATTTTTACAATGGTTTTATTTTTTTTTTTGAACGTTTTTCTAATTTTAGTGTTCAAAGTTATTTTTTTAATGATAAGGATATTTTTTTTCCATTTGAAGTTATAAAAAAAATTCTTCAGCCTTAAATATTTTATATTAGGTCATTAACAATACATCTTTTTTATAAAAATATACATAACTTTATTTTTTATACTTGTTGGTGGAATAAGTGAGCATCAGATATAATTCTAATTTTATTCTCAATACTCATTTTTTATGATGTTTAAATTTTCTCATTCAAACCCTGCTTTGGAATAGATTTTTTTTAGAATCAGGGCTGATTGTGCTCCGGAAAAAATCCGGATTTCCGGATTTTTCGTTAACAGTGATCCGGAAGTTTCCGGAGATCGAAGGTCCAGACGTTTAAAAAAATCATTGATCACAGAAGTTTCCGGAAATCAAATTTTCAAAGGTGGAACTTAAAAACACAGTTTATTTTATTTGTTTGTAAGGGAGAGCCAGAGGGATACTTTATAAGCTTATTTTCATAATTAATATTCATTTTTTATCAGTAAATAGTTGTTATAATCATTAACTCAAAAAAGAAAGACATATTTGTAAATTTTAATTACTTCTCCAGGTCATCAAAAGTATGTGTAAATGATATAGGTATGTGAAAATTTTTAAATATATTTTAAGTAAACTAAGAAATATTGAGAAAAAGGAAAAATTTTCTAATTTTTCAATTTAAATTGTTTTTTTTTTAAGCCCAGGAAATTTTCCGGAATTTTGACTTGGGCTCACAATCACCCCTGTAGAATGGAACTAAAAGAAAAATTAGATTCAGATTTTCATAGACATAATATGTCTATATATAAATCTATCACCAGTTTTCTTCCTCTTCCTGCAAATTATACTTTGTGTCCAGCTGGTTTTTTGTGAATGATGAGATGGCATTGCATATTTCTTAGGTTTTAAAATTTCTTTAATTTCTTAAATTTAATTTTTTTAATCATTTTTAATTCAATTTTAATTAAATTCAACTAATTATTTCATTTTTATTACATTTTATATAAAGCTAATATAAATATTTTATTCTCTTCTTAACAATCAATGTAACGGTTAACGTTTTAATTTAATACAAATGTATAACTCATTACTTCACTGTTGTGGCTGAATTGAATATCAAAATCTATTTTTAACTCTTTATTCCTTTAACTATTTTATTTCTATTACCATAAAAATGTTTCTGTTACAGGGTTATATTAATTCTCATTGTCTTTTGGGTGATAAAGCTGTAACCAAATTATTTAAAATGGCTGGGGACTTTCGCCCTTCAGTCCGTCATTGACAAAAATTCTCATCATTTTTAATAATGTATTTCTTCGTTCCTATAAAGCCTTTTATTTTGTCTTCTTTGCCATGGAAGTAAATTGTGAAATGCTCTCTAAACAAAACAATAATTGCTTTATATATGCAATAATTTAATTTATCATTTTCTGTAATGATTATGTCAATAAAGAGAACTATTTTAAAATTTTTTAAGTTACTTTCTTCCAAAAATTTTCTTTCACTTTTTTCAATGGTCATATTCTTTCAGTTTTTGAAATTCTACCTAACAAAAAATCTGAATCAAAATCCAAAGGCACCGAAAGAAATTTTTTAAGGATTAAAACCAGGAAAACATGAAATATTTTAAAAATTGTCAATATTTTTTTTT